TTTATTTTTTGTTACTTATTTATATATATATATATATTGCCAATTGGCAATATTATGTTTGATCACATTGTGCACGCAGATAATTTTTTAGCTTTAAAGTTGTGAACTTAACAAATATCTTATGTGGTCCCCAATTCATATAAACAATTGACATTTGTCAAAATTTATGTGATAACAACATTTATGCATTGTAAATGCTCTTATTTTGTTTTAAATAATTTCAAATATGTTTCTATCTATTCCAAATAAAATTCATACTATTTAAATCGAACATTTCGTACCAAAAATAAATCACCCACTTTATACCGCAAAATCGGATATTTATTATTAACAACACATTTTCTACGAAAAAATAAAAATGGCTATCATATACTTAAAATAAAATCATCAACTTTATACCAAAATTGGATTTATTAATTTTGTGAACTTTATACCATAAATTAATTAAGTAATTTCTAAAATCCATTTCTACATTTTGTCCAAAATATTTTTTAGCGACACATAAATGTTATTTATATTTTTGTATTTGGTTATCTTGTCTACGAAGAAAAAGATAATCTTGCAACTCTACTATGCCAACAAAAAGATGTATGAAAAATAACATAAGTATTAATTTATTATGTTTTATTCAATACAGGAAATATAATATAGATATAAAGATTAACGATTAATTCTCTATAATTGCTCAATCAAGTCTATATATTTAACATAAGGATTTCGAAAGTTTCTATAATACCCCATATTGGTTTCCATAAAACTAAATCATTCTAAATTTAAATTCAACTAATAAAGGTAATAACAGTAAATATTTGACTAAAAAGATTATGTACATTAATTACATTGATTTTTATTAATTTACTATTTTTAGGCAATAATTAATGAAATTGGCGGGAAAATATTTCTAAAAGTGAATTATGTTAATCCTTATTATATATTAATAGATTAGCTAAATTTTTCCCGCCTAAATTTTTTCGGATAAATTTGGTAATATTTATTAAGTCATTTTATATTGAATTGGTAAGTCAATAAATGTTGTTGGCATATATAAAATTGTATTAAGATGGTAAATACCATGCATGGATTATAAAGATGGTAATATTTTGGCATGATATATTGTTGATATTTTTTATTTTTTATTTTGCATAATATATTGGTAATATTTAGGCATGATATCACTAATGTATTGAACTATTCGGTGAAAGTTTTCTTATTATTTTTTTTAGGCGTAAAACATTTCTAGACATTTCTAGAAAAGTAAAGTTGCGATTTCACTAAAGGTTTTTTTATCACGTTCATGTTATTTTTTAACGTTGTTTTGAGTATATATATATGAATGATATATTGTTGGTATATTTACGCATAATATTTTAACTTAAATAATATGTTTATTTTTAAATTACACTAATTTAATTAATGATATTAATTGATAATTCATATATTGGTAAGTCATAAAAACTTATATCTTCAGAGGTTCACATATTATTTACCAGTGATAGATTTGGTATGATTTCATATTGGTTTATGATTCATTATTTTAGTTAATTAATTAATATTCATATTCTGTTATTAGTGTTTACCTCATATAATTAATTTGGCCATGATTTTGTAAATGATATATTTATTAATTAATATAAACATATTATCATCCTTATATAAATTAAGAATTATTTATTAACTGATATAAAAATTTAGCATTTTTAATGAAATTATATAACATTGAGTAAGATTAAAATTAAGATCGCAAAAGATATATTTACACGTACAAAACCAAGCTTCAAAAAAATATTTCCCCTATTTGTGTCCATAAAAAATTGACTGATTAATTGTCACAACAAGCGTTGAAATTTCGTCTAATTAAGATGTTCGAAAGGATTACAACTCATGGGAATGTGATTCACTTTATTAAATTTATTTTTCATGATTCTGAAGTGCGTTTATTGTCCATGTTAGTCTATATAAAATGTTATTAACTAATTTTTATTTTTAACTATTGTGCCTTTCTATAGTCCAATTAACATAATATTTTTGTTCTAAATATGTATTAAATAATTGTTCAATTGTTTTTAGCCGAGTACGATCAAATATCACCCTCAGGTCGTCTTATCGAATGAAGTGATTCGGAGCTTCGTTTACGAATTAATTTCTAACCGCACAAAAAGGAAAATAAAGTCAAAGACCTTCTAAACGGTTGATTTTTGGGGATTTTTAAACTAAAATTTAGACTAAGGAATTGAAAAACGATTAACTAAAGATGCAAGCTTTTATTAAAGACCTAAACTTTACTTGAAACATAGTGCTCGAAAGATAATAAAAAGCAAAAATAACGAGAAACGAACTACAACTAATGCACTTAGAAGCTAAAGTCGAACAATTAATGTGTGGAGATCAAGTTTTTAAGACTCAGACCGAAAATGTTTTGTACAAGAAAGTTTTTAATAATATCTAAATATAATGTGGTTGATTTGTATAGATTTTTTTTTAAAAAAAAAATAATAGCTTATTAAAATATGTACATTTTTTTTTTTTAAAAAAAAAAACAATAGCTTATTAAAATATGTTGTCCTTGAACTACATGTAATATGTTCTCTCCCTTTGATTTGTAAAAATATTTTAAATTCTTGTGGCATCAGTTACCACTTGTGATTTCCTATGCGATGACTGGTGAATATAAAAAAGAGTCAATGACTATTAGTAACACAAACATCGGTATGCTATTTCCAATCAATTTAAAGTTCTATTTTTGTGTTATCTGACGCGTAATCAGTGATCTTGATTTAAAAATATTAGTTTGTGAATCATCCCATCATTCTATTTATTATGAAATTGTTAATATTGAAACAAATTTTATCTTTTTTAATTAAATTGCCATAAAATAAATTTTTAATTAATGAATAGCTCACTACAATATTTGTTATTGAATCATATTCCCCCATGCATTGCACGGGTTTAACACTAGTTTTGTATATATACATGTAAAACCTCTATAAATTAATAATGTTGGGACCATATAAAATTTTATTAACTTAGAGAGATATTAATTAATCAATAAATTATTAATTTAAAGAGTGCTTTCACGATTTAGAAAATATAAATTTTGCCAAGTGTAGTTTATACTTGGTGAGCAAGTAAACTTGTTAGAAATGAGTCTTATAATTATATTTTGGAAAGAAATTTATAGGTACAAGAGTTAAAAATACATTAGAAGAAATTGTGGATAGTGTCACTGAAAATTATGTTGAGGATGAAGATGATGATTCAGTATTTTTGGAACCAATCACACGGAAGGAATCACTAATGTCAACCACAACTCTTCACAACTTTTTGTTGCAACTTGAGAGTATGACACTAGAGCTTTTGAATGCAATGAGAAAAATTAAGGATAGAATCAATTTCAATTTGAATGTCATGAAGAAACAAAAAACAATATATTCATATTTTACTAAGTTGTCTTAATTATATTTCTATTTTTAGAGGATTATTAATTTATGATTTTTATGGGACTATATATTTCTAAAGAGTTTTTTCTAAAAATTATTATAGTATTATTTTATTATAATTTACAATTTTTTACATTGGCCCAACTCAGGACCGGGAAAAAATATTATTTTAAAGAGATTATTAATTTATATAGTTTCTACTGTACTTTGTTATGATGTATTATATTTGTTTTCTAGAAACAATGCCTCCACCCATTTTATGAGCTAGATCCGCTCTTCATGATGATCTTAGCTATCTCAAGAACAGTCATACTTGCTCCCACAGTTGATGTCGTTAAGTTCGATAACAAGTACATGAGCTCATTGAACTCCTCCAAGGGAAAGACTTATTTGAGTTCATACACCACTTGCAAGTTAGATGTTGGATATGACTCTCTTCACGATCTTCATACTTATGAATATTTCGATGGGATTAAGTGCTCGGAGCTCCCGAATCATAAATTACATTTGGAGGTCGACATTCTAGTGATGTTGCTGAGAAACATTGATCACTTCATGGGATTGTGCAACAATACATGTTTGGTTATTATTAAGCTCACCCACCATGTCGTCAAATGCAAAATTTTAACCGGTGCCAGAGCTGGTGATAAGATTTTTATTTCAAGGCTCATAATCATATCATCACATTTGAGAGTGTTGTTCAAGTTTCGGCGCATGCAGTTTTTGCTCATGGTTGTTCACACTATGAGAATCAATAATAGTCAAGGTTAGCCTCTGTCGCACGTCAACTTACTACTAAAGAGCATTGTATTTAGTCGTGAACAATTGTATGTGGCTCTTTTTAGAGTCACGAGTCAAAGGAGCTTGAAGATCACGAATTGTGATGATGAGGATTTTGACGATAGGACAAGCACAAATATCGTATACAAAGAAGTGTTTAATGATATTATTCACTTTCTTAAATCATTTTTTTTTCAATTGATTAAGTTATGATTTAATTTTTATTTTTATTTTTTGTATTTTTTATTACTTTTTCCTCTATTATATCATTTTAAATGCACGAGTTAAAAGTAATAAAAATTTGTACTATTTGAAAAGCCGCAACTTGCAATTATGGGCTGTACGAGAGATGCTATAGTCCCGTCACAGAACAATTCCGTCGGGGTTTGTAACTGTTAGATCATCATGTAATCATCGGGGATAGTTGATCTAACGGTTACAAACTCCAATGTAGTCCCGTAGTATTTCCTATTCGATACATATCGAAATACTTCAACAGAAATTTGATAGATGCATTAGGTCCTTTCTACTACCAAACTTATATAAATTTAATGCATGTATGTTTAGTTAATTTTTTTATAATGTTAGCAGCAATAAATAAATAAACAAGTAAAATAAAAATGAAAAAAAAAACCCATTATAAGGGGATTAAAATATGAAAGAGAAAGAGTGCAACGAACTCATACGATATGCTCCCTCGGGGTCGAGGCTGAGTATATCCATACTATTTAGGCCCGAAAAGAAGCCCGAAAACACACTAGTGCTCGACGAAATGCCTGAACGATGCTCTCTCTCATCGCCGCAAACACCTGCATCCCCAAATCTCATCACCACTCTTTCTCGCGCTTGAGCGGTCCTCTTCTCGTCCCTCCTCCGATTATCGTGCGTAATCCCTGGAGAAAGGGTAAAATTTACAGGAAATCCGTCGTTTTATCCTGCCGGAGTTTCGGTTTTACTGAATCGAGGAAAAAAAATCTTGAAAGCAATTGGCGTTGCTGGTGCAAGCGAGGCGGAGGGGAATGGGGTGACGTGGAGTTGGAGGAGGAGATTATGAAATTCATGGCGAAATCGGAGAAACCGACGATGTTCCCGACGAAGAAGGAGCTGATTGGTGGCCGGCGATTGGATTTGGTGGAGGCTATTGAGAAGAGAGGTGGGTGGTACTCGCTAGGTTGGGACGGTGAAGACGTGAAAGGTCACGTTGAGGAAGAAGCAGTTGAGATTGATGTTGCTATTACCGAGTTCCAGAGGCGAGTCGGAAAGTTTAAAGAAAGTGCATCTTGGGGAGAGCATTCTGGAAATTTTTCTGCAGGGGATGACTGTGAACTTCATTCGAATTCTGGTGATTTGGATTTTCTGCAGCTGAATGCTTCAACATCGCTGGAAAAATCGATGTGAGACTTCTTTTTTTTCTTCTTCTTTTACGTGATAGTTTGGCGTGCTTTCGTTATGACGACATTCTTTTTTTTCTTGTTCTTTCTATTTTTGTTGGTTCACAAGTTTTATTGAATTTTTTGCTTGAGGCTTTCTTTACGTGCAATATTGTCACGTCAAAGGACAAAGTAGAAGGACATAGGAGAAAGGGCATTGAAGTTTCTGAATAATCTGTGTTTTTATGTATTCAGTAGCTTCATGTTAATACGAGCCATATAGCATTGATTGTCGGGATTAGCAAGAAACGATTATTAGCACAATTTCTTGCGTTTGAAATGGGTCTTGATATTTATGGAAGGTAATATTCTCATAGTCTGTTGTCTGGTTTAGAGAAATGGATGCTGAAGAAGATTTGGGCATTGAAGGTATATTGAGTAGATTGGAGAGGCAGAGGAAGAGCGATCTTGGGTTTAACTTAGGGAAAAATGGATATGATGCCCGTGCTGGAAGTAAAGATGTAAACACTGGTAAGTATATTTTTTTTTTTTCTAGTGTTATCATATTGATGCAGATTTTTCGAAAACATTATGTATGAAGATTGAGTTGATATTAAAATCACATCCCGGACTGAAACTGGAAATTGTAAGCTATGTATGTAACTGCAATTTATTATTTGTTCAGGAATGATGATCTATTCTTAAATTCATTTAATTTTTCATTCTGAGTTAGGATTTTGGTGCTTTTAAATCTGTAAAAGCCAGGATTGGCCTTGGCGGAAACGGCAGACTCGCATCTAATGTAAACCAAAATGACATATCGGATACATATGGCACCAATTCTACACAAAATAATGAACCAGAAACTTGGAGAACTTGGAGCAGCCAGCGAGCTGGATTTCAACATACAAATTTTGAAGGTTTAAGACTATTGAGCGTTTTTGGTTTGACTTTGTGGGTGTTTGTCTGGCTTAGTTGATTATCAGCTTTCAACTCTCTAATTTGTGCAGCTGCCGAGATTTCTCTCAGCAAGGATAGCGCAGAAACTGATGAGGAAAGTTATCACGATGGTATTTTCGTGAAAACAGAAGAATATGCAGAGGATGGGTGCAACTACAAAGAGCTTAACCACAAACAGATACGAACTCGTCTTCAGCAACTAGAAAGTGAGCTCAACACAGCTCTTTATTCCTTGAGATCTAAACGGGAGGAAAACATTTCAGAGGAGGTACACGTAGCAGCTTGGTGTTATAACTTTAGCTTTTCTTGTTAGTGTTTTTTATCACCACATTTCCATTTCAGTAAGCATTTACAACAATTGTATTGGACTTCCATTTTAATAAGCATTTGCCATAATTGATGTGGACTTCCATTTTAATAATGTAGCATAATTGAAGTGGAAAAAAATTAAAAATCATTTAAATTCTTTTATGCTCATTTTCGTCATTGAACGTGTTGGTTGCTAGGTAAGCGGAAGGCCTAGCGATTTGCAGGATCTTTACGATACATGGGAATTTCAGGAGAATGACGTCATGAGTGCCAAGGAGAGATTGAGATCAATAAGAGTGAAGCTGGCTGTATTAGAGGGGAAAATGGCATTAGCAATAACGTAAGCAAATCAATTATACATCCAATGGTATTTTTCGTTTTATTGACTTTTTAATTTATTCAATCTTCGTGTTCTTGTATTCTTACAGTGATGCGCAGAAGGCAGTAGAAAGGAAGCAAAAGCGGATAGATGGAGCCCGTAAAGCTTTGCAACTTCTCAGGAACACGTGCATTGTGTGGCATAGTTCGGCTTCTGAGGTTTTCTTAGCAGGATCTTTTGATGGATGGACGTCTCAGGTTAAAATATCTCTTAAATTTTTTTGTGAACTTCGTTGGAGCCCATATTTCCTTTTATTATGTCCAAAGCACGATGACGCCTCTTACCTTTATGTTAACTTTTACTTTCTTCATTCATATGATATCAGTGTGAGCCTTTTTGTGGGATGCATTATGAGTTTAGACTTAATTCGTTATTGGTTGTACATGTAACTGAAAGTTCGGGATTTACTTCTAAAGAAGAAGATATAGAGAAATACACGTGGGATGGAACAAGTATGAGGAGAGAACAAGAGGAAAATTAATGACCTATCTAGTGTTCTCACAACTTCCTGACCTCATTAACCAGTTTACTTTTTGCAAAATAGTGTTGGATACGAATCTATCCAATTAGCTTTTGGTGTGAGTCGTATTTGAGTGAATGATGGTGTCTCTTGGATTAGGTTACAGCTTGGGTGCATTGAAGTACAAAGACTGTTGAAAGGCCTGTCAATACGTCAACTTAGTCTAAGTTAGACTTGTAAGAGAACAATCCCCGAGGCTCAGTTTAATTACAATCAACACTATTTATCTTTCGGAATTGCCAATAAACCTTAAAAAGCATTGCAACAGTCCCTTTAGGTTCGTATTGTCTTCACGAATACCCTCTTCACAGGACTGGAATTTGTCAGTTAAATAAATGGCAAGGTTTATTTGTAATTTAGAAAAATTGTTGGGTCTTAATTTAATCAGGCTAAACCTCGGGGATATTTTTGATAACTGCCCCTTAGTTATACATAAAATCTAGAGAGATTGTGTTTCAGCTACATGTAGCAGACAATTGGCTGCCCAGAAAGATGACCTGTTGTGAGCACTTCAGATTAACCTTTATTGAATTCATTGTTCTGAGTTAAAATGGATTGCAGAGAAAGATGGAGAAATCAAGGACTGGCATCTTCTCAATTTGCTTAATGCTGTATCCTGGTAGACATGAGGTGGGTAGAATTTAACAGCAACGAGCCTTGAACTTCTTTTTACGCGTTTATGATCAATACCGTAACTGAAAGACTTTTACATAATATAATAAATTTACTGCAGATCAAGTTTATTGTTGATGGCAAATGGAAAGTCGATCCCTTACGGCCCATCGTGAAAAATAACGGATATGAGAACAACCTTCTTATTGTTACTTGATTACATAAAAAAGAATTGCTTGTCGAGTTCTTTTCTGTTGTGTATGTAGGACCGGGCTGTAGGTTGATTAACTTTGATTCTTTTGTGTTGATTACCATGTAGATCTTGTTAGAGTCCTGTGTGTGTCGTCTGATTCGTATTTTTGGCCATGTAATTGTCAACTGTGAAGACCAACTGTAGACCAGCAAGTTGTATATTTGTGTAGGGTCCTTGAACTTTATTGCCCATTATGGAGATGACAACTTATTCTTTGCTCATTATCTTCCTTAATGCAAAAGTGCCCGGGTTAAAATCTACCTCCAAGTTGAGGAACAGCTTCATGAAATAGATGCTATTAATCACTTTGGGTTTCTTTGGTTCATTGAATGGGATATAAAATTGTGGTACTTAAGGCAATATCTTTCATTAAAAAAATCAGTAAGTCTACACGTCCAAAAAGCAAACAAAACAACAGAAACAAACAGGGACAAAGCAGCAAACAAGGGGAAAAAAATCTAAGCCTGAACCGATAGGAGCCCACACGAGTAGTCTGCACCACGAGTGGGCTAAAGCACAAAATAATATAAAACGACTACCAAAATTTGAACGATGGGTAGTCCATCTGATCCATCTGCACAAGAGTACAAACGGAGAAGAGCGTCGTCCGGATGAAAAATGCGCCTCTATAGAGTGGAGGCACCAATGCAAGCGAGGAAGTCAACGTGTCGATTATTCTCGCAGAAAATGTGCGAGATTCGGTATTGAATCGGCTGAGATGTCTGCCAAAATCTCTCAATTGCTCTCTTTCTTTTTTTTTTTTTTTTTTTTTTTT